AGTAAATGCCTTCCAGGATGATAGTTGCTGGTTCTTGTGCATCCATTGAAACCAAGAGAGGGCCTGACCAACCATGTAGAAACTAGCAGTGTCCAGCCGCTGTTCCTCATGAATATCCCAGAAACTGAAATACTTTTCTGCTTGAAAGATCCAGTCTAAGGGGCTGCTGCCATCAAACGTGGACATGTCGCAACGATTGGGTCGCGGGTGGGATTGTTGACATGTATGGGTGGTTGTGTGTTGATGGTGGTTCGATGTCGAGGAAGAGGATGTTGTGGAGGTGACGTGGAGTTGGGTGATGCGGTCTGCCAGTTCCGCCACCGAACGGTTCAGTGTATCTACTAGGGCTTGATTTTGAAGAGCTAATGCCTGGCGGAATTCTTCAGTAATTTTGATTTGAGAATCTCGGATTTGTTGCACCTGTTCTTCAAGAGCACGGTATCGGGTTTGAGTTTCTTTGTTGGTGATTGCTCCTCTCAATGAAAGCACCAATTGTTGAGATGTAGTCCAGGATCAATGGTTCCACTATATGAGGGTGGAAGCCTCCAGCAAGAATAATACGAACAGAGAAAATAAGAACAGGGAAGAAGAGAATTTTGGTGAAACTTCCGGATGCCCCTTTCCATTTCATTTTCAATATTAAATAGAACATACATGCCTATAATAGTGGCAACATGGGCCACTATCATCCTAAAAAGAAGGAACTTCTACGTACTGCATAAGATGCAGTAATACATCCTAGATAGTGGTTGAACTATAATAATAATAATAATAATAATAATAATAATAATAATAATAATAATCTTAGTAATAAATAAAATCCTTTTTGGTGCAAGGGTGTCAGATCCTTTTCTAGTGAGCTTGGCCGGATTGCAGCTCCTGTGTTGTATCATATGCTCAGCCCTACTAGTGAGAATCCTCCTTTTCAATATTTAGATAGCCAAAATAAAATTTCACTATTCATCATTTTCCATGAAAAATGGGTATACGAAGGAACAATTTTAAGAATGTAGTGTAACCCTAGCAACATGCGCCGATCACCTGGCTTCCCTCCTGTCAGATTGCTCTTCGACGTAGAGGCTGTGAAGCGAACTGGATCGGCGACTGCCATCATAGGCTTGCACGAGGATTCAAAAGTGTTTGGCAGCGGCGACAAGTTTCTACATTACTTCTCCAGTGCTCTGCAACTCTGAAGGAGTTCGATCGTACAAGATTCCTTCTTGCTTTCTTCATCCGGCCGGTTTTCTCTGGCCGAGGGTTTGATTTGTTCCAATTGTGAATGTGTTTGGACTTTCGATCGTGATTGTCGTGCTTCTTCTTCTCAGTCTCGGATCTAGGTTTCATTTTGGTGGCCCTTAATAGAGAGCTTAAATTCCCGATGGCTTGTAAAACTAGGATGCTTCCTTTTATGTGTCTCCTTTAATTTTGTGTGTAATTGTGGGACAAATGATAGATAAAAATGTACTACCTCCATCCCATTTTATGTGTCTCCTTTTATTTTGGCACAATTTTTAATAAAGTGGTTGAAAAGGTAAAAGTTGTGGTTGAGATTTGAGTATAATAAAGTGAAATGTTGTGAATCACATATTTCTTTCCAAAAAGGGAAAAGTGACACTTATTTTGGGACAACCCAAAAAGGAAAGTAAGACAGGTAAAATGGGACGGAGGGAGTAATAAAAATACAACTAAAAAACGGGGCGGGTAATGAGGTTGTCATGTATAGAACCGTAATGGCCCAGTTACCTATAAAAACAAAACGGGTCCTGGCCTTGTACCCGTCACCCAGTCAATGCGGTTTTCCCCATTTTGACCAGAGCGGTTTGGTGTGGGTATGATCACAATTGTCATCCCTAGGAGATCGAAACCTCTTCTCCCTTCCTGGTGGCTGATAAAATCAATATGTTTAAACTATTTTGTTACTTTTATTTAAAGAATTGTGCTTTAGTGACCTCTCATTTCAGTAACAAGTTCAACAGTGTTGTTAGATTAGTCTACATCGTTGCGGAGTTAGCGAGTACGGTTGGTTTTTGGAGGCTAATAAATTCTATGTCTCATCCCAGTGTAACCTTGAGCTATTGTATTGCTTTACCTCTTGTTACATTTATCGTTTGATTTATTCTTTCAAAAAAAAAAAAAGGAACAATTTCAAAGAATCACATCTTAATTTTGTAAATATTCAACGGGATGAAAATTTAGAATTTTGCCAAAATAGTCGTATCAAATGTGATTGATAAGCTGAAAAATATCGAATGTTTTAGTGTCGAGTCCAACAAAAATTGATCAAAAGAATTGTGATTTGAAGATTATGAAGTAAAATTTGACCAAGTTGTCCAAAACTTGATGAAATGTGTTAAAATGACTAAAAATGACACAAGCAAGATGTATACTAAATTAAATTATTAGGAATGAATTAATTAAGTTCATCCCACATAAATAGTACCAAATTATGTTGAAGGTTCTTAGTGGATACACTTAGTGAGAGGAGCTACAAAATGTGCTTGTAAGACCATTTGTAGTGGTGTAGGAATCCAAAATGCTAGAGATGAAATTTTTGAACGAGTGGTAAGCTAAATGAGTATTAAATTAGTGGTAAGGTGAATGAGTATTAAAAGTGAGAAAGGGGATGAAGGGGGAGTATAAATGGAGGGTGGATTTACAAGGGGAAAGAAAAGGAAAAATAAAAGAAAAGGTGAGAAGGAAGCGGACAGTGCGCATGGATGATAGTGAGATGACATCATCCATGCATCATGCATTCGCCACTAATACCGCAAATGTCTTCGAACTTTTATAACTTTTTTATTTGTTCTCCAAAATTTTCAAAAAATATATTAAAATTCTTGAATTTTTATGATTTTTCATATGACAACAATATGAAATATATAAAATGAAACAAAATCTGAAGTTTTAACTATTGGAGTTTTCTTGAGCCCGAAAAACATGAAAAACAATTTTTTATTTCATGAAGCCTCCACAAATAATTGAATATTCCATAATTGAACTTTACTTTAACTAAGTTCTCTTTTTAACTGAAAACGTTAAATAAATTAATGAAATTTATTTATTTATTTTTACATTGAAATATGTATTTTCTATTTCAATTATTCAGGACAAAAATTAAAAGAAAAACGTTACTTATAATAAATTAATTAGTTTTTTTAACGAAATTTATATGTTAAAAAATATGTTGAATGTATTTTAAATGGTGCTGAAATGCAAGGAAATAGAAATCTAAACAATATTTTCATATGGACAGAGTCCATTTTTAACATTTTGACCTCCCCTCCATTAGAAATATTCTAAGGGCGAGCAATCAATTAGGTCAAGTATAACTCAATCCGTCAACTCTAGAATATTATATCAATTTTTTATTGTCTACCATATCCACATCCTATCTAACCATCATTGCAAGATGAATTAAATAGAGTGAGATTATGATTAATGGTATTAATTTAATCTCATATCGAACTAATAATAGATGCTACATACCTAATGAACATTGCTTTTAGAGAAAAATATGGAAAAGATACTTGTGGTGGGCCCGTTTTCAGATAAGGTCATGTGTTTCATTCTTTATCAAAGTGGTTCATGTGTTTGAATTCCATTATCACAAGAGGGTCACTCCGTTAAAAACGTCTGAAAAAGACCGTTAAAAGTAACTCCTACATTTTTTCAAAATTGCCCGGAAAATTAAAATAAAATACCGAAAGGTGTGCCTCGTCAAGATGACCTCCAAACCACCTTCGCCTTTGGATTATTTAGATCTGTTTGAATTATTTTTTAAAAAAGATTTCGCTAATATCACTTTTCCGGTGGACTTTCCCGGTGACAAGGATGGCTGGAAAAAAAAAAAGAAAGATAGCCTAGCGGTCGTCTTATTGAGGCGCACCTTCCGGTTTTTTCCTTAAATTTTTCGGACACTTTTGAAAATCAGAGTTACTTTTAACGGTCTTTTTCAGACCTTTTTAACGGCATGACCCTCTTATGATAACGGAATTCAAACACATGAACTACTTTGATAAAGAATGAAACACATGACCCTGTTTGAAAACGGACCCAACCACAAGTATCTTTTCTGTACTTTTCCCTTGCTTTTATTGCACTAAAAACCTAAATTAACAAGGTGGGTGTATTTTTTTAGTAGGTGACAATTGCTGCACTCATTTAAAAAATGAGGTACCTTATTACCTACCATTCACTTGATTGGTCCAAATCATTATACCATTTTTAATTTAGATTCAAATAATTCAATTGCAACATTCTAATTGGTTCATGTGAGCAAATGTATGATACCATAGAATCTGCCTTTTTAGCATTCAAACAGCTGATATTTGATTTTGATAGGGCTGTGTTGTGAATAATCTAGTAAGAGAATAATACTTGTGAGAAAAGTAGTGTTTTAAATACGCATGATTGTTGAGAAAAGTTAAATTATATAACCAATATTTAGTTGAGAAAAGTTAAATTAGGGTAAGACAAAGAACAGAAAAACTGATAAAGGCGCAAGGCGCTCATTTCGCAAACCTTGCAATGATGTAGACTCGTACCGCAGTGTGACTGTTCATGCTACTCAAAATGGGCATGGTTCGACCAACCACTGAAAAGGAATTATTAAAGTTTTCGGTTATTGTAACCACCGGTAAGGAGCCAAGTGCAGAAATTGTTCCGGTTTCACTAGTCACCGATTGGAGGTGATCCAATCTGCATTAATCCCTACAAATTTTAATTTTTACGCTTAATTTCTATTAAAAATTCACTGTTATAGTAAGTAATATGTGGTCATGGACCATTATTTTTGGACGGTCCAAAAATAATCAATAATTGAGATTATTGTTAGCGGACCGAGAATTATTATTTTCAACTTTCCTAAATAATAAGTTTTGTGTTGTAAATCCTAGAAGTCAAACTATAAGAATTAATTTGAAAGATGAGTGAAGCATGAGTGACATGACTATTACTTGTTCCTTATTTGAAGTAGTTTGACATTCTTCAACCAAAATTTCACTCCTTAACCTGGGTGAATCTCACTCCTTCAAACAAAATAGAACACAGATCATAGCATCATACTTGGTAATATTCTGATTTGGGCGAGAAACAAGGATTAACTCACCGTCACGGAACAAAAACAAAGTCTTAGAAGCGTTGAGCTTCTTCCTCACCCAAAGTCCAAATGGATAGGGACTGTAGCCGCTGAAGGATGAGATACCCATCCTTTATTGCTTGCGACTAATACTTCTCCGTGCGACGTGTCAAGAGTTCTGCACAGGTGATCACCGGTATGACGTCTCTCAATCCTCGCTCCACTCAACAACCATGCCCCCTTTGGCCTTTTCCTAAATTTATCGCGCCCTTCTCCTGTATATAAGCTCCCAAGCTGACCCTTTGCTTTTTCATTGACAATTTTTGGTGCAGAAATCAAGGCAAACCCGAAAACCCCTTCCTTGAAAGCTCTGAACTTTGGCTCCTAGGTTTTCTCAATCACCAAATTTCTAGTCTTCAGTCAGCCCTACTGATAAATTGTTTCTTTTCTTGATTCTTCTTTTGATCATGCTAGTGAATTTTCCCTGATCATGTTTGATTGTTATGTTATGCTTCGCTGAAGCAACTGAGTTTGTTTCCTTTTCTTTTTTGAAGTGCAAGAAGAAGTTTGCTGGTTGAATTGCTGGGATTATTGGTAAGAAGCTGGGGAATTTTCTGATGGTTATGTTTTGATGTGTTTGATGAATTGCTTGATGGGTTTGGAATGCTTTTGTAGGAAGCTTGGGTTGGAGTGTAGTTTAGAGAAAAGAAAGCTCTACAAATCTTCTTTGCCTTCACACGATTGAAAATTTAAAGGGCTTTGGAATCTTTTGAAAGCATTAAAAAAGTTTTTCCCATATTGTAAAGTAGAATTAATTTACTTAAGCTGACTTTCCCTATGCGGTGGAATTGAATTTCTTAGTTACCACCATATCATATTATTCTCCTCCAATCGTCTCTCTTTCGAAACTGTTATCATTTTTCTCCGAAGTATGTTGAAAAATCTGGTAATGAATGGTAACGATATACTCTTGTATACTTGCTTGGTGGCAATTTCTGAAACTTGAGTCACAGTGAAGGGATTCCTATGCCTTTTTCTTACATTGATTTGATTGAAGATTGTTTTGTTCAAGTGATTAGGTTTTTCTAATCCTCTTGTATCTGACTCTAAGAGTTAGTCGGGTGGGCGGGGGAATGATCCTTTATAAAGTCCTGATTTTTTGTTGTTGAAGTTTGATCTTCAGCAGAAGCACCGTCTCAAAGTTCCTTTTTCATTAACGGGATTGCATTCAACAGAGTACTTTGCGATGGACGTGAAAAGGATATCCTGGGTAGGAAATGTATACCAGAAGTTTGAAGCTATGTGTTTGGAGATTGAGGACGTCGTGTATAAGGTTGACACTATTTTCCTCTGTTTACTGCTTTTCATGTTTAACTTCCACTTTAATTAAAAAAAAAAACTTCCACTTTAATTTCGTATCTATTTAGTCCTTTTGCTTATAGCAGATACAAAATCTATATAAATCGTTTATTACATTTAACCTATAGCAATGTTCAATGTGGATTGTAATTTTTTTTTGGAGCTAAATTAGGATAATTTAACCTACCAATAAGTATTTGACCTTTTCTGGAACTGGATTGCTTAGGTCCTGATTGTGATTATAAATTCGATCTTGTCCTAGTTAGATTGGTAAATAGTTTTCCATGTTTCTTCATTATTATTCAAATTTCCTTTTGGGAACATTTTATTATAAATCTTCTTAGAAAAACTTTCCTCATGTGAATTTAACTCCCATATATATTTGGTAGCCTTTATTGGTTAAATCTTTAAGAATCATAAAATCCTTTGAACCAAAGACATGACATTTTGCTACAAATCCAATCAGCAGTCCTGTGATTTTCAGAACAAGTTTAGTTTTTTTTTTTGTTGAAAACATGAACAACATCAAACAATGGTTTTGCTAATCCATTAAATGATCTGTGTACATTTTCAGGACACTATAGACTATGTTGAAAATCAAGTGCAAACCGTGGGACAAAGTGTGAAGAAATTTTGTTCAGAAATGATGCATGATTTGCATCCCGAGTCTGGCACTGATCCGGTTACTGTTGCTGCTGCTGCCGACTTTTCTGTGAATCCTTATGCTTATCTCGAGATTGAGAAAAAGGGAAAAAAGGAAAAAAAGGAAAAACGTGAAAACTACAGACGTAAAGATGTGAATACCACAGACGATGCTCAGGTCATCAAGGGTAAGGATGGATGCACTACTGCTCATCTCTAAATTCTAAGTGAATTGGTACTGTTAATATTAATGTGTCTCTTGTAATTGTATTAAGGGAGAAGCAAACCTGATGGGCTATATAAACGCCGAAGTGTTGGCATTAGAAAGACCGAAGGCAACCATTTTCCACTAATGGTGCCTTCACCTGTGGCTGGTGAGTCTTGGGAGAGGAATAGTAGGAACTCTTCAGTCTGTGAATTAAGAGAAAGAGTGGAGGACACATGCGATCATATAGAAGATACAAATGTGAACAGAACGTGTTTCTCTATAGAGAATGTTGTGTCTGATGAGGCATTGCTAGATGGATCAGCTGGGCAGAGGCAAGAAGATCCTGAATGCACTACCACTTTTGATGGATCATCGTCTAGATCAAGTGGTATATTATAGTTCTACCACTTGATCCCTTTCTTTTTTCTTTTCCCTTTATTTAAAAAGGTATTCCCCGATTTCTACTACAAGTTTTTTTGTTAACTGTGCTATCAAATCAGGTACAGAACAAGCACATATGACAACTTGCCCAATTTCTCGTACAGGTGGTGCCAATACAATCAACTGTGGATCTGCAGGTGAGGTCATTGTTAACTTCGTTTTGAAATTGAGGGCCTGTTTGGTAAGGAATGTTTGGATGAACTTTCTGAAAGAAAGTGATAGCCAACATCCATTTCAGCCAAATAAGTAAGACAAAAGCTACTTATTTTAAAATGTAAGCTAGCAGAACTGGCTACCAAACAGTGCCTGAGGTTGATATCTGAAAGAATGCCCTGCTTATTAGTAACTTTTTAGTCATCTTTGGTGTCAAGTTGTATGAAATTTCTATATCTCTAATCCTAAAAATGGCAATATCTGATGAAATTGTGTGAGCTAGATCAGTTCATCTATTAGAGAAACTACCTAATAAGGTTCTGTTCATCGGCATGCTTACTGTTTAGTATTCTTGAAAGTTTAGAATGTAGTTAGCCTTGTTCCTAAATTATGTGTATGCATGTAACTGATATCTCACTGTCAAGTGAAAAACAGAGGCAAGTACATTAAAATGAGACTTGTTGGGCTCCATAATTTAGAGCATTGGGTTGACATCCTTACACCCAAGTGGCTTCACTACATGTGTGTGTACTGTGTAGGGTCTGCTTCAGGTAAAACTGAAACAGTGCAAAACTTAAAATGATACATCATTATTGAAGCGTCATTGCACTGTTATCATAAGGATGTGCACTTTTCACGTTGAAAGACATGGCAGGAATTGCGGCTAATTACAATTCCGTCACTGAGCTTTTTTTCTTTATTTTCTGGTGATTTTTTAAAGCTTAGATCTTCAATTTAATGCACTATATCCATTCTCATCCTTCACTTAAGCAACACTTTTGCATTTGTTCCAAAGTCTGGTTTTTGTGTGAGATTTAGTTTTTTCTTATTTACTATATACCTTGTTTTAAAAACTGGGAATACAATCTTTTTGTACACAATCTTTTGCATATAGATAATTATATTACCTATCCATGCCCAATACTTTTGAAGCTTGCTCCACTATGAAGTAGTAAGTTATGACATATTCTGCTGCTTTGCATATATATATTTTCTACAGAGAGATCAGATAAGCATGACGGTGATGCAGTGGAGGCATTTAATGTGCTTGATCAAGAAGCGGAAGAAATCGAGCAAGAAGCTGAAGTAGCGGATCAAGATATGGAGGAGACATGTGTATGGGTTGAAGGGGATGGACTTCATATTCCCCATGGTCCTGTCAAACCCAAATCATATAAGGTCTCTTCTCTCTCTTTCTTATATATACATGCACGCATGTGCACATTGGACATGGCTTTCAATGTGATTTTTATTAAGAAAATTGTGGTCTTTTCTGTTTCCAATTATGACACATATTTTTTCCAGATTATTTGGTTAGAATTACTAAATACTGCAAATTGTTTAAAGTGAAACTCTTTGAACCAAATAAGTACTATGTAAGATGGAAGCTTATTTGGTGAAATGTGACTAAATTTGCTAATTTTTGGAAACATCTTCAGCCGAACAAGATAAAAAGATACTCATTCTGTTTATTTTAATGATAATCTAAATGAGACAGATCTGGACATGTTTGGCAGAACTGTTATGGACATGATTCTACTGACAAATGTCAAAGGAAGTTTAATGATATTTCCTCTTTGGAAACAATGGAATTATCAATGAAATCCCGTTTTTAATTAGTTTTTAAGAGTTTTCAAGATGTTGTTTCTTTCAGGAACTGAAAACAAAAGCATTAGCATTTAGCACCAAAATTTATCTCCTTAAGTTTTAGTCTGTAGTAAAAGTCCCGGCCTCTGCCCTTTTCCAGCGGGTGTCGAACGCCCTTTACACCATTAGTTTGTTCTTTTGGGAGAAGTGAAAACAAGCAAGAAACAACTCATTAACCTTAACCGACTAACCGTGTTTATTTCAACTGCAGAAAAAAATCCGTGAAGCATTCTCGTCGAAAGCGAGATTAACAATGAAGGAGTATCAGAAGCTGGCAGCAAAATATGAAGAGCAGGCTGCAGAAAGAGTAGATGGTGGAGAAAATGCCCCACCTGTGTTGGTGAGAATGAAGGCAAGCGCTGATGTTTTACCATCAGCTAGCAGTGACTTCCCTGACTCTGAGTGGGAGCTTCTCTAGTTGCAATGCTTGCCTGCAGCTAGCAATAAAAATTTTCATTTCATAGATCAATGTATATATATACCTTATATATATTTATATTTGTAGAGAAAGTACAATAGCGAAGCAGTTTAAAAAGTTTTATATGATAATGATTATTAGTATATTCTCCTCTCCATACTAAAAATGAGCTCTCTTCTTCCTTCTCTTAATGAAGCAGGCAGGCAAAAAAGTTGCTCTTATATGCAACATAAACATAACTGGACTAAATAAGATTTTAAATTTAATTCTGGTATAGAATTCAACGGATTAATTTTTCGTTGCATTTATAGTTCCTTTTTTTAAAATTTTCAACACAAACAATTTGTGGTTGGGTAATTGGGTAAATGTCAATTTTGGATTGGAATTTTATGTTCTTGCACAATACACGCACGGTGTCCGCACGGAACGTGCACGGTACTCATCTTGCGTAGAGTGTAGACTGTACGGCAAGCCATCGGGTTTTCTTCTTCAAACAATGATTTCGTAAAAGTTCTAGTAAAGAACTCTTGAATTATAATGTACAACACGTTTTTGTCATTTTGTGTAAACATATAAATATATAATTGTTGGACTCATTTTATATTTTTATAGTCAAAGTGAATGATCAATAAATTTGAGAGTTTCTGCTTTTCTAAAACTTCAGGAATTATTTGGTAACGCCTAAATCGATTAAATCAGTTGAAATTTTAATTGCAATAGTTGAAGGTGTTGATTTATGAAACAATATATTAAAATATATTTCATTAATTTGACAAAGAAAAATTTAAATGCAAGGAAAATGTTAATATATTTCATTAAAATATATTTCATTAATTTGGCAAAGAAAAAGTTAAAATAGTCTTCTTTAGTAACATCAGTCAATTTTGGAAGGAAAATAATTTTATCATACTTATTTTGATTATGATAATACAAGAAAAATAATTTTAATCACAGTTATTTTGATAGTTGGGTAAAATACTTGATTGATAAAATGGATAAGTTGAAAATAGAAACTATCAAACATTCTCTAAAAATAGTGTAAAATTGTCAAGTACTACCTCTCTTGTGATTTAAACTTTTTATTGGAAATCATACGCTTATTTATACAATAACTAAATAATGTAATTTATATATATTTTGATAAATAGTAATGATGAATAAGCTGTCGTACAAGAATGTTAATTATATTCTAGAGTAGAAATAAGAAGTTTTAGTTGATACGTCCAAAAGGAAAAGAAAAACTTAAATTAGAAATGCAATGGAGCGAGTATGATGGGGAAACGTTTGACGTGCTATAGTGTTGTGGTTTTAAAAAATGTGGAGGTTACGTTGCTTTATTTGAATTTTAATGTGGAAGGCTCTTACAATCTAAATAGAATTTTAAAAAGATGCACTAACAAAAAAGAGAATATCATTCGCACAAAATTAAAGGTCAATTCATACATCCACGGTTTGTTTGTGCGTAAAAATATGTTGCCCATTTTGAACTAACAACTATTCTTGGTGTACACGTTTTTGTACCCATCAGTACACGCATGTGTCTGTGAGAGTTTTTTTTTGTTTGTGAAGCGCGGTCCACAGACATAAGTTCGCTTGTTTTGTCTGTGGAAAATTTCACAGACAAAACAAACCAGCTTTTGTCTGTGGACCGCACTTCACAGACAAAAAAAACTCTCACAGACACATGCGTGTACTGATGGGTACAAAAACGTGTACAAAAGGAATTAACTAATGAAGTCTTGAGAGAAGGAAATAAATTAATTAAAGAACTTTAAAGTGCTAATTACATTGCCCAAAAAGTATCATATCACAGTTACGTACATTCCTAATGGTAAACTTATAAACTAATACGGATCGACTAGTACTCTTCTCTTAGTGTATAAATGAACTAGTGAAATGTTTCACTAGTTCACAAATCTTCTCTTGATTAGTAGCTAGAGTACAGTAGGTTTAAGTTGAGAGGCATAGTCAGGATTCAGGAAAGGGAACTAGGGTGGACCAGATAAAAATTCATTCATATAATTTTTTATATATTTTTTCATACAAATTTTTTACTTGTAAAATTTTAGACTTTTCCCAAAATTTGAATGAGTCGGGACATAGGTTAAGTTTTTATCTATCTCCGAGACTGTGCTAATTGATAATATGGTCAAAAAAGGTCAAACTTTCAATGGTATTGAAAACTCACTCACTCTTCTCCATCTTCCACAATCTCACTTTTGTTAGTTGCATAGTTAACAGGGCTGGCCCTGAGGGTGTTCAACCGGAGCGACCGCACAGGGCCCCATGTGATGAAAGGGCCTCCAAATATTATATTGGTTCTTTAGAAAAAAATTAATTGATACGCAGTAGTATGTTTGGAGCTGTTTTCAAGAATTGGAAAAAAATGATAAACTCAATTACTCAGTACGGAGTATGCCCTTTGAATTCTTTATTTTATTCATTTAAACATAAGTGGTTCTACAAACCTGGATACTTTTTTCAAATAAATGGGAATAAACTATAAATTTAGAAGGATAGTTTTTAAGCAAAATCTAGTTTACATTCAAAATATATTACTGAGTATTTGACTTTGATACTTTTGATTATCTTTTTATAATTGTATTTGTATTTTACTTTTACATGTATTACTTTTTTTATATATATTATACTCTATAGTTTAAGATTTTAGGGCCTCCTATTTGATTTTGAACAGGGCCTTTGTCTCGTCAGGACCGGGCCTGATAGTTAACACAACTACGAGTATATATGTTCTTCTCTAGGCTTCCATTCTTGTAATACACATATAGTTAGTTACCATTAACACATCAATGTAAGTAATCATGGCGCAGGCACGATAAAAGTTATAGTGATCGAGTCAATAGACATGATTTTCCGTATGAATGTTTGCATAAAAGTTTTACCCACGACAAGTAGGTTTTTATCAAATTTGAGGTGTGCCAGGCATCCCCCCCCCAAACAACACCCATGAATGTAATTAACTCCATTGTCCTCTAGCTAGAGCATACATCCTTCAATTACAATAAGAATGTGTTCTGTATAAATTTACCTCTAAGAGCCACCTTATTAATGCTTTAGATAGACTCATTTGCTTCCTTGCTCTATCTTTTAATAGATTCACCATTCACTAGCCACTAGGGATTCCATGTGTCCTTCGCACACTACGTTAAACATACTTCACAAGAGCTATCCCATAAATTACAAACCATCATACCTAATTTGAAAAATGAAATACTTAAAATGGCAAAACATACCTTAGCTTGGAATTTAATAAGGCATAGTAGCAACAACGTAAGTAGAGTTGTTTTTGGAAAACTGATCAATGCATGTGTTAGACCTTATAGTTAAGGACCCGACATCCTTTGTTGTTCTTGTAGTGCTCCACTAGCCTTTTGAGTGAGCTAGGGCCAGAGAACACGTACTTTTCATATGATATTTTCCAGGCTTTTCGCCAATGCCATGTGCCCGCTGGGCTCTACGTACATTTATCATACAGTATTGGTGAAGAACCTCTCTCATCTAATCACCATAGCTCAAAAAAGTGGGATTGATGTATACTCTATATATGTCGGCCGATTTTGCAAGCAAATGTAGGTGTTCAAAAAATGTGGTGGATCTCTTCCCATATAGCCCGTTTGGTGACTTTGTTTTCGGTTCATCAAATTTATCATCTAACTTTTTAATTAAACACGTATATTATGCTTAGAATTACTTTTCCGGTTGTATTAACTCAAATTACTGTAGATGATTATTTTAGCTATTATTTCGTAAATTTGTCTTTATTTTATTAATAAAGAATTTCAGCTAATACAACCACTTCTTTATTTTATATTTTCCGTATTCTCCGTATAATTTTTCCATAAATCACCAGAATCAATCAATACAACCACTTCAGCTAGAACTTCATAAATTTCAGTATAATCAGCTGATTCAACTGATTTCAGTGCTACCAAATGAGCTTTATAATAATGTACACCATAATGTACATGTATCTATCATATTGTTTTTATGGTTCTATTTTAAACCTAAAAACGAGTTAAACTAGGGAGGGAGTTATTGGTTAATAAATGATCTGTCTCCTTTAATAAATGATCGAGCCTGATTTTGTCTAATCGGGTAGATGTATGATTCCCTTTTTTTTAATGTTGAAATTTAGTCTAATCTAATTTGATCAAATTAGAGAAAGTATAATTTGCCTCTTGTTATTTCTTACTCATTATTCATCCGGGCCACTTTAGGAAGAGAAGTCGCTAAGAATAGAAGTTGAATTCTACAGCCATGAACCAAAGTTACCAAACAAGCCAATTTACATGGACTAATAAACTGGCACTAGGTATAATATTTAGCTCAAGTTGTAACGAAAGCCATGAATTCTTCATCATTTCCCAAAGCAAGTAGCGTTTGGGGAAGAAGGCAGACCTCAATGTCCACGCTCCCTTCTTCCACTCCCGGAAACAGGCTGAACTTCCCGTCAGCTTTATTGTCCATCCCACACCTCACCGCCACCGACTTCCCCCACCCGAAATCCGTCCCGTAAACGTCATTCCTCGGTGAACTAGCAATTCCCAGAAAATTTGTACAGAACAGAGTCTCCTTCCGCGCCACCGCCGGAGATCTCACCCAGTTTTCGTAAAACTCCACCGCCTCTTCATGTTTTTGCCCGGCGACAACCTGATGGATTTGCCAGGCCGCCCATCCAAATCCTCTCTCAAGCAAATCCCCTGCCTTCACCCTCACCATCTTGCTGTAAATCGCGTTTCCCCAATACCCTTCCGGAAGTGGCGGATCCATCCTCCATCTCGTTCCTATTGGGACATATATGAAGACCTCTTCGGCGGCGTTGACCCGACGGGACCGGGTGATTGCCCTCCACAGGTGGGCCACATATGACTGCAGGGAAGAGATTTTTGAGTCTTTTGTTGAAAACCCCATTTCGGAATTGGCTTCCAGTTTGAGCTTAGCGATGCTTTCTTGGCTGAAATGGAATACCCTTTCCTGGAAAGGCTGCGGTTTGAAAGAAAGGGATAGCTTTTTTTCTTTGTCGAGATCTAATCGGAGACGGAGTGGACCGGTGGATTTCATGTTTTCCGGGAACCACGGGTGTAGAACGGGAGGTATGGATGGCTTGCGGAAACCTCGGGAGAT